ATTACAGTAAAAGTATGTAAGTATTGTAAGCAGATTACAGTAAAAGTATGTCAGTATTATCATCAAATTACAGTAAAAGTATGTAAGTATTGTATTCAGATTACCTTAGAAGTATGTAAGTATTGTAATCAGATTACAGTAAAAGTATGTAAGTATTGTAATCAGATAACAGTAAAAGTATGTAAGTATTGTATTCAGATTACAGTAAAAATATGTAAGTATTGTAATCAGATTACAGTAAAAGTATGTCAGTATTGTATTCAGATTACCTTAAAAGTATGTAAGTATTGTAATCAGATTACCTTAAAAGTATGTAAGTATTGTATTCAGATTACAGTAAAAGTATGTAAGTATTGTAAGCAGATTACAGTAAAAGTATGTCAGTATTATCATCAAATTACAGTAAAAGTATGTAAGTATTGTATTCAGATTACCTTAGAAGTATGTAAGTATTGTAATCAGATTACAGTAAAAGTATGTAAGTATTGTAATCAGATAACAGTAAAAGTATGTAAGTATTGTATTCAGATTACAGTAAAAATATGTAAGTATTGTAATCAGATTACAGTAAAAGTATGTCAGTATTGTATTCAGATTACCTTAAAAGTATGTAAGTATTGTAATCAGATTACCTTAAAAGTATGTAAGTATTGTATTCAGATTACAGTAAAAGTATGTAAGTATTGTAAGCAGATTACAGTAAAAGTATGTCAGTATTATCATCAAATTACAGTAAAAGTATGTAAGTATTGTATTCAGATTACCTTAGAAGTATGTAAGTATTGTAATCAGATTACAGTAAAAGTATGTAAGTATTGTAATCAGATAACAGTAAAAGTATGTAAGTATTGTATTCAGATTACAGTAAAAATATGTAAGTATTGTAATCAGATTACAGTAAAAGTATGTCAGTATTGTATTCAGATTACCTTAAAAGTATGTAAGTATTGTAATCAGATTACCTTAAAAGTATGTAAGTATTGTATTCAGATTACAGTAAAAGTATGTAAGTATTGTAAGCAGATTACAGTAAAAGTATGTCAGTATTATCATCAAATTACAGTAAAAGTATGTAAGTATTGTATTCAGATTACCTTAGAAGTATGTAAGTATTGTAATCAGATTACAGTAAAAGTATGTAAGTATTGTAATCAGATAACAGTAAAAGTATGTAAGTATTGTATTCAGATTACAGTAAAAATATGTAAGTATTGTAATCAGATTACAGTAAAAGTATGTCAGTATTGTATTCAGATTACCTTAAAAGTATGTAAGTATTGTAATCAGATTACCTTAAAAGTATGTAAGTATTGTATTCAGATTACAGTAAAAGTATGTAAGTATTGTAAGCAGATTACAGTAAAAGTATGTCAGTATTATCATCAAATTACAGTAAAAGTATGTAAGTATTGTATTCAGATTACCTTAGAAGTATGTAAGTATTGTAATCAGATTACAGTAAAAGTATGTAAGTATTGTAATCAGATAACAGTAAAAGTATGTAAGTATTGTATTCAGATTACAGTAAAAATATGTAAGTATTGTAATCAGATTACAGTAAAAGTATGTCAGTATTGTATTCAGATTACCTTAAAAGTATGTAAGTATTGTAATCAGATTACCTTAAAAGTATGTAAGTATTGTATTCAGATTACAGTAAAAGTATGTAAGTATTGTAAGCAGATTACAGTAAAAGTATGTCAGTATTATCATCAAATTACAGTAAAAGTATGTAAGTATTGTATTCAGATTACCTTAGAAGTATGTAAGTATTGTAATCAGATTACAGTAAAAGTATGTAAGTATTGTAATCAGATAACAGTAAAAGTATGTAAGTATTGTATTCAGATTACAGTAAAAATATGTAAGTATTGTAATCAGATTACAGTAAAAGTATGTCAGTATTGTATTCAGATTACCTTAAAAGTATGTAAGTATTGTAATCAGATTACCTTAAAAGTATGTAAGTATTGTATTCAGATTACAGTAAAAGTATGTAAGTATTGTAAGCAGATTACAGTAAAAGTATGTCAGTATTATCATCAAATTACAGTAAAAGTATGTAAGTATTGTATTCAGATTACCTTAGAAGTATGTAAGTATTGTAATCAGATTACAGTAAAAGTATGTAAGTATTGTAATCAGATAACAGTAAAAGTATGTAAGTATTGTATTCAGATTACAGTAAAAATATGTAAGTATTGTAATCAGATTACAGTAAAAGTATGTCAGTATTGTATTCAGATTACCTTAAAAGTATGTAAGTATTGTAATCAGATTACCTTAAAAGTATGTAAGTATTGTATTCAGATTACAGTAAAAGTATGTAAGTATTGTAAGCAGATTACAGTAAAAGTATGTCAGTATTATCATCAAATTACAGTAAAAGTATGTAAGTATTGTATTCAGATTACCTTAGAAGTATGTAAGTATTGTAATCAGATTACAGTAAAAGTATGTAAGTATTGTAATCAGATAACAGTAAAAGTATGTAAGTATTGTATTCAGATTACAGTAAAAATATGTAAGTATTGTAATCAGATTACAGTAAAAGTATGTCAGTATTGTATTCAGATTACCTTAAAAGTATGTAAGTATTGTAATCAGATTACCTTAAAAGTATGTAAGTATTGTATTCAGATTACAGTAAAAGTATGTAAGTATTGTAAGCAGATTACAGTAAAAGTATGTCAGTATTATCATCAAATTACAGTAAAAGTATGTAAGTATTGTATTCAGATTACCTTAGAAGTATGTAAGTATTGTAATCAGATTACAGTAAAAGTATGTAAGTATTGTAATCAGATAACAGTAAAAGTATGTAAGTATTGTATTCAGATTACAGTAAAAATATGTAAGTATTGTAATCAGATTACAGTAAAAGTATGTCAGTATTGTATTCAGATTACCTTAAAAGTATGTAAGTATTGTAATCAGATTACCTTAAAAGTATGTAAGTATTGTATTCAGATTACAGTAAAAGTATGTAAGTATTGTAAGCAGATTACAGTAAAAGTATGTCAGTATTATCATCAAATTACAGTAAAAGTATGTAAGTATTGTATTCAGATTACCTTAGAAGTATGTAAGTATTGTAATCAGATTACAGTAAAAGTATGTAAGTATTGTAATCAGATAACAGTAAAAGTATGTAAGTATTGTATTCAGATTACAGTAAAAATATGTAAGTATTGTAATCAGATTACAGTAAAAGTATGTCAGTATTGTATTCAGATTACCTTAAAAGTATGTAAGTATTGTAATCAGATTACCTTAAAAGTATGTAAGTATTGTATTCAGATTACAGTAAAAGTATGTAAGTATTGTAAGCAGATTACAGTAAAAGTATGTCAGTATTATCATCAAATTACAGTAAAAGTATGTAAGTATTGTATTCAGATTACCTTAGAAGTATGTAAGTATTGTAATCAGATTACAGTAAAAGTATGTAAGTATTGTAATCAGATAACAGTAAAAGTATGTAAGTATTGTATTCAGATTACAGTAAAAATATGTAAGTATTGTAATCAGATTACAGTAAAAGTATGTCAGTATTGTATTCAGATTACCTTAAAAGTATGTAAGTATTGTAATCAGATTACCTTAAAAGTATGTAAGTATTGTATTCAGATTACAGTAAAAGTATGTAAGTATTGTAAGCAGATTACAGTAAAAGTATGTCAGTATTATCATCAAATTACAGTAAAAGTATGTAAGTATTGTATTCAGNCTGCAGGCCTTCAGCTGGGTGTGGGCTGTGGGAGGGGTTTTGTGCTCCGTGGGTGGAGATGGACAGTTAAAGGTTCATGTTTGAAAAGAGTTTTTCGGGACTGAAAGTTCTTTTCTGGTTTTGTGTGGGGTTTTTTTTGGTTTTAGTTGCTCTGAAGAGACGATGAAACAGTGATTTGATTTGTAATTGCTAAATGTAAATAAAGGGATTTTTTAAAATCAAAATCTCTCTCTGTCTCTGTCTCAGTGTTTTCCTGATCAGCTGTGAGGGTCATAAGGACAGAGGGATGTCGTATGCTGTAAAGCCCTGTGAGGCAAATTGTGATTTGTGATATTGGGCTTTATAAATAAAATTGAATTGATTGATTGATTGATTAATGTGTGTTTAGTGTGTGAAGGATTTTTTTCAATATGTTCTAGTTTCAGAGACTCAACAGATTTATGTCGCCTCATACAAAAATAACAGTCTAATAAAGGCCAAATCATTTTAAAAACTCTACCAAACACTTCATTTGTACTTTTATGGTAAAAGTGTTGAAGCTAAGCTAATGTTATTAAAACTGTACCGATAGATACTTAAGCAATATCACACTGGAGCCTGTGATGTTATACTCGTATATCATCACGGCTGTGATATCGTCATAGGCACGAGGGCGCAGGCCAGGTGCCGAAGACAATCTCGTACCAACACACACACACACACACACACACACACACACACACACACACACACACACACACACAACTTCAACACAAACTTCCACAATCTTTGTGCCTGCCATAGACAGAGACAGGAAGTGACACACATATTTGTTGTTTGTTGTTTTCTTCTTTTTTTTGTTATTACTGTTATTATTATTATTGTTATTACTGAGATTGATTGAATGTGACTATGACTGTGATGGAGTCAATCATAGTTATACATATTATACATACAGTATTACCAACAGTATAGATTATAACCAATTTATTGTAAATATTGTTTTCCTTTATTGTTATTATTATTTTGAATTCCAAACGCTTGCTTTGCCAATATGTACAGTGTTACCTCGTGCCAATAAAGCCATATGAATTGAAATGAATTGAATTATAGATAGATAGATAGATAGATAGATAGATAGATAGATAGACATACAGATATGTGTGGCATGGTGGTGCATTGTTGCTCTGTAGGCACTTCCGGTGCTCCAGTCCAGTAGGAGGCGGTGATTCATCTAAAAGCCGGTTTGCCCGGAAGCAGGAAGAAAAGTCGAAGAAGAAAAATCACGTGAGCCGTCTGCAGCGTGACGTCACATCAGCTGACTGCGGTTAACAGAGGAAGAAGAAGAAGAAGAAGAAGACAGCAGATCCTTCGTCGACCTTCAGTTTGGTGTCATTACTTCTGATCCAACATGGCGAGTCAGTCTCAGGGCATCCAGCAGCTGCTGCAGGCCGAGAAGAGAGCGGCCGAGAAGGTGGCCGAGGCCCGCAAACGTGAGTATGAAAGGCGGCCTGTGAGCCCGCGGCGCCCCGGTGCCCGTTAGCAGGTAGAACCGGCTGTTAGCGGGGATATGAAGGAGGCAGGAAAACCTGTGACTTTAGACACTCTTTGTTTTAATTCTTAATAATCTGCAGATCAAACCGGAGACATTTTCAACATCGGCTCACACACACTCTGCTGACGTCAGCAGGTTCTGGTTAAACGCCTCTGCCGTCGGTGTCCGTTTAAATGGGTGATAAAAGCAGATGAAGAGACTGTGTGTGACTGAAACATGAGCCGAATTAAAGAGCGTGTCCTCGCACATGAAGCTGTGTGTTACTGCACTGGTATCTACTTGTTGGGAAGCACGTCTGCGAAAAGTGTCAGAAATCTGAATGAGGTTTGGTGTTAGTGTCAGGATAAAAGAAATAGCTTTAATTTGATTAGTTATTAAAATTATACAGTGTCTTTTGTAAAGCGTCAGTTAGTCACGTGTGTACATATTTACATGAGCTTCATTAAATGAATTTGTAAAACCTGGAAATGATTCAATCGTAATTCTTTTGCTGCGACTTTAAATGTTTTTATTATTTTGTTCAGCATTTTTTTTAAATGTTGTCCTGAATGTCTGGCGTCCTGCTGAGCGTCAGTGAGTCAGCCGCTGAGCATCATGGGACATGGTGACCACATCATGTGACAAAGAGTCATAGAGACTGAATGGAGAACAAACAGATCTGACTGCAGTAATCAATCAATCAATCAGTTCAGTGACTGCTGGGACAGTAAGAACAGCAGCTGCAACAGAGTGCAGTCCAGTCCATATATACATGTCTATGTTTATATTCCACAGCATGAAGCTCACTGACAGGTGAAGTGACAGTCATGTGATGTCACCTGTCAGTGGCGCCAAGCTGCTAAAAACTGGTCAGTAACGCATCAAAAGCTTTGAGGCGTCGACCTGCCTCCGAATTCACCAGATGATCTTGGTCTGACCGAGCAGCTGCGGCCCTGTTAAGGCGGGAGTTTCACGCTGGTATCCCACCTCGCTGTTCTCTATTAAAGGTACGATCAGAGTACCGTTCCAGGGGCGGAGCCTGTCCACTCCCACTGCGTGTCAGAGCATGGCTCTGCTGTTGTCCCCCTCACAGCTGAATGAAGCTCCTCCATGGAGGTGTAAACACAGCGGCAGCTTTGGGACAGACTTCCCTCTCTGTGGTCAGATTTGGTCACATGACTCCATCTCTGGTGTCTGTGATTTGATTGGTGCTGCTGTCTACAGGAACGTTAGCAGCGTGTATTTTCCATCTGACATTAAAATCAATAAATTGATCCATAAATAAAAAAATAATCACTGCTGACGATTTTTATCTTTAAAGGGGCAAAAAGTGAAATGGTTTCACCGCTAGGTTTGCTGTTGTGTACGGCCTGTAGACCAACACAAAGTGTGTCATGAGCCACTCCTCCCTCTACCTCTGCTCTCCACCCCCCCCGCCTCGTCTGTGCAGCCGAGCACCGCAGCATCTCCACGGACTATCACATCCAGACGGTCCCGGTGTTTCCTCCTCAGGCTCCACTTCACTCAGCTGCCCGATAAACCCGCTGCTTCTTCCCACTTTAACCTGAATAACAAACCAGGGCTCGGTGCTCCGGTTGGATCCAAACAGAGAGACGGGGCTAACGTTAGCTGGGAAGCTAGCGGAGGCTAACTGGCTTTGCTGGCAGCTGAGTGAAGTGGAGCCTGAGGAGGAAGCACCGGTTAGCCCCCGCTTTCACTGCAGGCAGATTCACTCGCTACAGGGGCGAGGAAATAAAACCTAAACAGCCAACTTAGTTTGGTTTAGTTTAGCAGTTAGCGATGTCTTTCACTCACTCTCAGTCTCTGCTGTGTTTAGCTATTTCCCTGCTTTCCTGTTAGCGTTAGCACTAGTCGGCTGCCACGCTAACATCTCTACTCTTCTGCTCATGGCTCCGGCTCACGCAGAGTAGGGACGTTAGCGTTAGCTCCTGGAGTTAGCACTAGAGCTACTACGGCTACTGGAGTAACTTACAGCTATGGAGCGCTTCTACCAGCTCTTCTAGTCACTGAGCCTCGCCTCCATCTCAGCAAATATATTACATTTATTACAGGGACCATCATCATTGAAGTAGGCAGGGGAATAGCTAAACACAGCCGCCAGGCTGCCCGCCAGGCTACATTTTACAATGCTAATTGCAAATGTTAGCTGGGCTGCCGGGCTACTCACCTAACACAACCGTAACGCCTGACTCATTGCTGGGACCGAGCCGCTAATAACTCAAGGTCCGGACATTAACCCATGCTACGATTGAATCGACATAGCGACTTGTGCCTAATGTTACTGTAACACTAGCTAATTAAAACAGACATTTGACTCCGCCATTTCGCTTTGAAAATACGTGCTGCCATTGCTCATTGGCTGTAGCCTTTTTATAGGGAGGGAGGGGCAAGGGCTCCGAGAAGGGGGGGGGGGGGGGAACACATGAACGTACATGAACGCACAGCCGGACCGGCTTGTAAACAATGGGCTGGAGATCAACACAGAGAGAGGGTGTGTGAGGTCATGCTATACTCCAGATGAAATTACACCTCTAGTTCTTCACATAGCAATTTTTTAATTCCTTCAATCTAGAAATTATGAATTTCGCTTATTGCTCCTTTAACTTCTGGAAACGTCTTCTGTTTTTTTTCCCCCCCGTCAGCTGCTCGTCTTACATCACTTCCTGTTTCACTTCAAAATACAGACGACTGAGGTTGCGTAGAGACCAGAGAGGTGAACGTGGGATCCTGAATATAGTGAAACATTTAACATGTTAAAGGGATAGTGCACCCAAAAATGAAAATTCAGCCATTATCTACTCACCCATATGTCGAGGGAGGCTCAGGTGAAGTTTTAGAGTCCTCACATCACTTGCAGAGATCCAAGGGGAGAGGAGGTAGCAACACAACTCCACCTAATGGAGGCTGACGGCGCCCCAGATTCAAACGTCCAAAAACACATAATTGAAACCACAAAATATCTCCATACTGCTCGTCCGTAGTGATCCAAGTGTCCTGAAGCCCCGACATAAAAAGTTTTTTTTCTAGCTGCCTCTGTGTAGACCGCACTCACGTGTGTACGCTTGTGCAAAACCGAGAGACATGGGCACCGCCTTCATGTGTGTTCACGTGCTTTCACTGCTCTCATGCACAAGTGCACACACGTGAGCGCGGTGTACAGAGAAGGAGAATATTGTGTGTCTGCTATTTGCCACAAAGCACCTGGACTGAATGTCACCCACAGTTTGTATTTGGTCAAGTAACATCAGGCGCCGACGGGCAGACAAACTGACGGACTGATGGACCGACGTCCTACAGCTGCCGAACATTTGTCTTTAATATCGACACATTAGAGCTTTTTTTCATGGTGAACTGACGACCTCCTTCCTGACAGGACAGACTCAGGGTCGTGCCAGTCCAATCAGATTCATCCGTTTGATACAAATATCCAGCTTTCACAGAATATAGTGAACAAGCTAACAATGCTAACGACGTTCATAACAGATCAGAAACGTGCACTAACATTTGGATATTAAACAAAAGTCAGAGACTGTGTCGTATTAACTCTTTAATGTCCATAGAAGGAAAAAAAAGGCACCGAGTCTTATTTTATTTTTCTTTATTTCCTCGGGACAATAATAACTTTTTTTTTCTAACAGACTTCAGACCTTTTTAAATATTGGACTACCAAACAGCTGAGAAGTCACATGATGGTATTTATTAAATCAAACATATCAGCAGTGTTATTAATTCTACATATTTAACATCACAGTGATTGAAAACCCCTCAGAAATGGTGAATATCAGATTTTTCCCATCAAATATAAAATGGAATAACATTAAATACATGAATTAAATAACAGTGAATATGTATAATTTTTTTTATTTGATAAAATGTATGATCTCCGTCACCATAGTGACACAGTTCAGTCTTAGACAGTAAAACATACTGATGACATCATTTCAGTATTTGTATATAACAGATAACATGAAATGTGTTGTCAAAAAATGATCAAGTTTTTTTATTTTGTAGAATTATATTTTAATGACATTATACTATTCCTCCAGAAAATTGCGATAGCAATAATTAACGCAGTCCACATTATTGGCGGGTGCTTGAAATTTTTCAGAAGTCCCGCAATTTTTCCGAGTATTTACGCGTTTTCCGGCCGTCCGGAAATGGTCGTGCATGTACCGTCATTTCAAACGTCATCAGACGTGTCATCAAATGCGCTAATAGCACTGCAGTGTGGAGAAACGCTCAGTATTGACAACAGAATGTGCACTGTGTGAATATGACAATATGTATTGATTGTATTAAAATGTTGTGTTTACAGAAGATGGAACTGACATGTTGTTGGACAGTCACATCGTCTGGTTTGAGAGCAACAATATTCACTCAGGATCTTTTGATCATTATTGGAGTCCATGTTTTGAAACTAATTAAACAAAACTAAAGAAGAGAACTATAAAAAACATTTGCAGCTATTTTTGTAATATTCAGTATGATTATTATAGCAAGTGACTACATGACTTATTTTTTGTGAGGTAGTAGTTTAAAAAAAAAGCAACAACAACTTTTTTTCTCCTTTTGTCATTTGCCACAATTTCCCGCAAAAAAAAATCACATAAAATGCTGCAATTTTTATGTGATTTTTGACATAATTGGCCACAAATTCAAGGTTTTTTTGCCGCGAGATCCTGGAGGGACTGATTATCTTAGCTTCGCTACCTTTACCATTTCTTATGTGTCTGCTGTGTCCCTGATGTCTCTCTAATGTCTCTTTGCTGTCTCTCTGTCTCTGCTGTGTGTCTGATGTCTCTGCTGTGTGTGTCTGATGTCTCTGCTGTGTGTGTCTGATGTCTCTGCTGTGTGTCTGATGTCTCTGCTGTGTGTGTCTGATGTCTCTGCTGTGTGTGTCTGATGTCTCTGCTGTGTGTGTCTGATGTCTCTCTAATGTCTCTGCTGTGTGTCTGATGTCTCTGCTATGTGTCTGATGTCTCTGTGTCTGATGTCTCTGCTGTGTGTGTCTGATGTCTCTGCTGTGTGTGTCTGATGTCTCTGCTGTGTGTCTGATGTCTCTGCTGTGTGTGTCTGATGTCTCTGCTGTGTGTGTCTGATGTCTCTGCTGTGTGTGTCTGATGTCTCTCTAATGTCTCTGCTGTGTGTCTGATGTCTCTGCTATGTGTCTGATGTCTCTGTGTCTGATGTCTCTGCTGTGTGTGTCTGATGTCTCTGCTGTGTGTGTCTGATGTCTCTGCTGTGTGTCTGTGATGTCTCTCTAATGTCTCTGCTGTGTGTCTGATGTCTCTGCTATGTGTCTGATGTCTCTGTGTCTGATGTCTCTGCTGTGTGTGTCTGATGTCTCTGCTGTGTGTGTCTGATGTCTCTGCTGTGTGTGTCTGATGTCTCTGCTGTGTGTGTCTGATGTCTCTGCTGTGTGTGTCTGATGTCTCTCTAATGTCTCTGCTGTGTGTCTGATGTCTCTGCTATGTGTCTGATGTCTCTGTGTCTGATGTCTCTGCTGTGTGTGTCTGATGTCTCTGCTGTGTGTGTCTGATGTCTCTGCTGTGTGTGTCTGATGTCTCTCTAATGTCTCTGCTGTGTGTCTGATGTCTTTGTTGTGTCTCTGATGTCTTTGTTGTGTCTCTGCAGGTAAGAACAGACGCCTGAAACAGGCTAAAGAAGAAGCTCAGGCTGAGATTGAACAGTATCGACTGCAGAGAGAGAAAGAGTTCAAGACCAAAGAGGCTGCTGTACGTACACTACACACTGCGACACACTACTACACACTGCTACACACTACTTCACACTGCGACACACCACTTGTACTTTTTCTGTCTTGAGTGTATTCGAAATGTAAATTTCTAATAAAATATTTCAAAATAAGAGCTGTTACATTTTCCTTGATGTTTTTATTTTATATTTTAAAGTATTATTTGTCATTTTCTCACATGTTGATGTTTTACTGCTGTTTGAATATTTAATATTTTGTTTATTTTCTTTATTTTCGTATTCTAATGAACTTCATAAATTAGTGAGATTTAATTTTTAAATTTCAAAGTAAAGGTAAATGTTGAATTATTTTGACGTTAACAGATTTCATGTTGTTTTGTTTCATTAACATCACGTCAGAGTTTTTTAATCACGTCCCCCTCCCCCCACAGGCCCTCGGTTCCCATGGCAACAGTGCGGTTGAGGTTGACCGTGACACAGCGGAGCGGATGGGTCGTATCCAGGCCAGTTACCGCGGTAACCGGGAGGCGGTGCTGGGCGAGCTGCTTCGACGTGTCTGTGACATCCAGCCTGAATTTCATGCTAATTACCGTGTGGCTGGCTGAGGGGAGGGGCCACGCGACTGAAGGGGGGCGGGGCAAACCGAAGAGACATACACGTTAGCAACATTAGCATCATTAGCTTCAATCACAGCCAAACCCTTTTAAGTTTCTGTGACGTCAACTAAAATTCTCCCAGAATGACGATTTATTTTGAAGGTGCGAGTATCTTACTGTTTTCCTGCTCCGAGCAAAGACGACTGCGTTGATGATAAATGTTGTTACTGTGTTGATGTTTACGAAGTATTTATATATATATCAGAATTAATTTCTTTACATTTTCCTTGGATCTAACAAAATAAAAGTCTCCTTTCACTGCCGAGGAAATCAGCCACTCAGGCGTCGGATAAAGTTCCGAATTAATCTATGAAATCAGTTCTGACGGCTGATTGGTTGTTTCCTCTGAACTCTCCTCCAATCAGGAGTAACGACTTGTCTCTCTCTAACCTGATTAGCTAGAGAAAGAGGAAAGGCTTTTATTGTGAAACTCTATACATTGTAATGAGTTTTTTGGTTTCCTGTGTGTGACCATGTGACTTCCTGTCTCTTGTTGTTCTGATGACTTCCTGTTGATGTTTGTGAAGTGATGATGATGAAAAAAATAAACTGAAAATATCAAACTTAATGTTGATTGGCTGAAGCTGTGTAACGCTGCTCTGTGATTGGCTGAAGCTGGGTGGGTTTCAGATCAGATCAAATCAACTTTATTGATCCTTTCCAGGAATTTGTTTTAACGTCTCTGTGGCGGAGGAGTCGGTCGCTCCCAGGGGCCCGTTCTCTGCTCTGGCGAGAGGCCGATGTGACGTGGATGATTTTCCAGGGTGACGCTGACACTGTGAGAAAAGTGTCAGCGTCACCCTGGAAAATCATCCACGTAACATCGGCTCTGTTCGTGTTTGAATTCAGATCAAAGCAAATAACAATTCATCACACATGTCGTCAAACGTTTTTACAGTTACTTAAAACCCCATCAAATGTTTCTGAGAGTCCATTTACTCACGTCAATAGCATATATACAGTACAGGCCAAAAGTTTGGACACACCTTCTCATTCAATGCGTTTTCTTTATTTTCATGACTATTTACATTGTAGATTCTCACTGAAGGCATCAAAACTATGAATGAACACATGTGGAGTTATGTACTTAACAAAAAAAGGTGAAATAACTGAAAACATGTTTTATATTCTAGTTTCTTCAAAATAGCCACCCTTTGCTCTGATTACTGCTTTGCACACTCTTGGCATTCTCTCCATGAGCTTCAAGAGGTAGTCACCTGAAATGGTTT